AAATGATTTGGGGTGCACTGGCCTTTAAAGCTCGCTATTTTTGAAATAAAGCAGAAATTCCATCTGCAGTTTGTACCAGACACCTAGAGGTAAAGAATGGGTAAAAGACCTAGACTGAAAACATACCTTGACTTAAACTCAAGCTCTGTTATCCTAAAGATAGCAACCTGACAATGACACATGGTAGCAGCAGGTTATGAGCATGCTTTCCCTTTGAATGGAACAAAGTTTAGATCTGTAGTCAAGTAGGAATTTGAACTGATGATCTAATGCTCTACCTCAACTGACTGAGCTTAAGGTATTTCAGAAAAGTGCAGAAAAAGCTTGTAAGAAGAGTTGAATATTAACACACCTCACTCTTTGGGTTTTATTTTTTTTTTTTTTAGGTTTTATGGCACTAGTGGCTTGTTTTTCTAAAAGTAGGCTGACAGTAAAGTAAAGGGGGTACGAGAGATGGGGAGAGACATGTGGCATAGGACCACAGGCAGGACCCAAACCCAGGTTGCCCGCATTGAGGACCAAGGACACGCACATGGGTCGTGTGCACTAACCACTGCACCACCTGCACGCCCAGGGTTTTATGGGTTTTAACTAAAATGTTCCTTCTACTTCAGAACTATACAGTGCTTAGTGTTGGTGGTCTGTGGATTTAACAGGATAAAAATGTAAAGGCTTCATGGAGTATTACTTGTGTGCCACTGCAGTTGCAAAAGAATTACAAAAAAAAAAGGTCAAGAAATGTGGATAAAAGAAGGATGAGACCCAACAACAGAAAATATTTTACCTCAATTCTTTAATGAGGTTTTAGCAATGAGGTCAAAAACAAAATTACATTCTTTTCACAGACAGTCGATGCGACAAAGGAGTTCACTTTTGGGCAGAAGAAGAAACAAATTAGCCATGCTTAAAAAAGTTGGTAACAAGTAACAGAGCAGGCAGGTATCCAAGAGAGACCAAGAAAATATATACAACAATATCATCCCTGAACAGTTACACTGCATTCATTCAGCAATCGCTTTTTATAAGGAACACACATATTTATTGACCTGAATCCAATCTGAGGTCAAGTGATCGAAGAAAAAAAAAAAAAATGAACCTTGAGGTTTTATTGTGAAAACAAGATTTTGTGGAGGTTAAATTAGTTTAAAACTGGTATCTTATAATGAAGAGAAACTGTACACCTTATGACAATTGATTAATTTTTCACCCCATCTTACAACTTACACACCTAAGTGCTCGCTTGGCAGGCTCACATTCCCCAACGATGCACCCATCTTCCCTGCAGCTCAGCAGTAACGACTGAACCACTAAACAGATGTGGCATCCATAAGTTAGGAAGAAAAGCAGTAGAAATTTTTCAAACCTCCACAAAACATGCAAGAGCTTTAAGCAGCAGTACGGCACTTTACCATTGTAAACTATAAAAGAGAGGAGTTACAGGTGCTGGTCATAAAATTAGAATATCATGAAAAAGTAGATTGATTTCAGTAATTCCATTTAAAAAGTGAAACTTGTATATTATATTCATACATTACATACAAACTCATATTTCAGATGTTTATTTTGTTTAATTTTGATGATTACAAATGACAAATGAAAATCTCAAATTCATCATATCAGAAAATTAGAATATTACTGAAGACCAATAAAAACAAAGGATTTATAGAAATGTTGGCCAACTGAAAAGTATGAACATGAAAAGTATGAGCATGTACAGCACTCAGTATTTAGTTGGGCCTCCTTTGGCCTGTATTACTGCAGCAATGCGGCGTGGCATGGAGTCGATCAGTCTGTGGCACTGCTCAGGTGTTATGATAGCCCAGGTTGCTCTAATAGTGGCTTTTAGCTCTTCTGAATTGTTGGGTCTGGTGTATTGCATCTTCTTCTTCACAATACCCCATAGATTTTCTATGGGGTTAAGGTCAGGAGAGTTTGCTGGCCAATTAAGAACAGGGATACCATGGTCCTTCAACCAGGTACTGGTAGCTTTGGCACTGTGTGCAGGTGCCAAGTCCTGTTGGAAAATGAAATCTGCATCTCCAAAAAGTTGGTCAGCTGCAGGAAGCATGAAGTGCTCTAAAACTTCCTGGTATGTGGCTGCGTTGACCCTGGACCTCAGAAAACACAATGGACCAACACCAGCAGATGACATGGCACCCCAAACCATCACTGACTGTGGAAACTTTACACTGGACTTCAAGCAACGTGGATGAAGAGCCTCTCTTCTTTTCCTCCAGACTCTGGGACCTTGATTTCCAAAGGAAATGCAAAATTTACTTTCATCAGAGAACATGACTTTGGACCACTCACCAGCAGTCCAGTCCTGTTTCTCTTTAGCCCAGGCAAGACGCTTCTGACGCTGTCTGTGGTTCAAGAGTGGCTTGACACAAGGAATGCGACAGCAGAAACCCATGTCTTTCATACGTCTGTGTGTGGTGGTTCTTGAAGCACTCACTCCAGCTGCAGTCCACTCTTTGTGAATCTCCCCCACATTTTTGAATGGGTTTTGTTTCACAATCCTCTCCAGGGTGCGGTTATCTCTCTTGCTTGTACACTTTTTTCGACCACATCTTTTCCTTCCCTTCGCCTCTCTATTAATGTACTTGGACACTGAGCTCTGTGAACAGCCAGCCTCTTTAGCGATGACCTTTTGTGTCTTGCCCTCCTTGTGCAAGGTGTCGATGGTCGTCTTTTGGACAACTGTCAAGTCAGCAGTCTTCCCCATGATTGTGTAGCCTATAGAACTAGACTGAAAGACCATTTAAAGGCTTTTGCAGGTGGTTTGAGTTAATTAGCTGATTAGAGTGTGGCACCAGGGGCCATCAATTTTGAACCTTTTCACAATATTCAAATTTTCTGATATGATGAATTTGAGATTTTCATTTGTTGTCATTTGTAATCATCAAAATTAAACAAAATAAACATCTGAAATATATGAGTTTGTATGTAATGTATGAATATAATATACAAGTTTCACTTTTTAAATGGAATTACTGAAATCAATCTACTTTTTCATGATATTCTAATTTTATGACCAGCACCTGTACCATCACAAGAGAAATAATACACACCCGTTTCACATGTAAAAATGCTGGCTTTTTTATGCATAGAAACCAATTTTACAAAACATCAGCTGATGAGACCAAAGTCTCTGTATTCACATTTATATATATATATATATAAAAAAAGAGAAAATTATTTATGAGCAGCGAAATGAAAGGTCTAAACATCCCCCTGTTAAAATACCAGGTTTTTAGATCTAAAAAAAAAAATTCAGTATATATTTTTTTTAAACATTTGATGCAAAATGTATCCTGAATTATTGACCTAAGAGAGGGGGGGGGGGGGGGGGATATCATCAATAAACTGGCTGTATAAGTGTGCACAACCTTAATAATTTGAAGCTTTTTTTATTTAATGTTAAAAGTTTAGTCTGATCAACTAAAAATGTTATTAGTTCTCCTACAGACCCCACAGAATACATTTAAATGATTGACACCCCTAGGAGAAGATTGTATTGTCAAACCCAGTTAGTATCCCAACCATCTGATTAATCTGTAGAGGGAGCAAAGAATTAGGGTGATGGTAAGGAGGCCTTCCAACCTTAAAGACATGGAGCACATGACCAGCAATAAAATCCTCAAAATACCAGTTAAACCTGCAAAAAGCTGCTGGTTGTTTGCTGTTGTGACAAAATTCTTTAAAAGGTTTCCGTATTTAGAAGAATAAGAATAACTTGACATATCCTTTTTCTTGTTCAGCAAATGCACTTTATTCCTCAAAGTGAAACTTTTACAGGATTGCTTTTTAATTTCAAGGATTCATTTATGTTTTTATAAATTACAGACTCCAATAAGATTTCGGGAAGTCTTATTGGATTTTACTGTATAAATGCATATTATCAACATTAGACCATCAATAATCAGGGAAAAAATATAAAATATGAGGTAACTAAAACTGGACGTGTCTTCAATGCTGATAAAATGACTTAATTTTATGCTGAGAGAAACACTAAAGGAGCAGCAGAAACTTCTTGTTTGCACCGATTGGGACGGAAACCTCAGATTGAAGGCTGTGATGCACAACTCTAATTTTATTTTATTTTTTTTCCCCCCAAACATTCAGTTGTAGCTCAGAATCTCTTTGTGGCAGAATCTTAAGGGACCCATGTCAAACATTTATGTCCCAACTCCAAAATGTAGATTTTGCTTAAAAAAAAAAAAAAAAAGACCACCAGACCCACAGCGAGACATGGTTGTGGCAGCATTATGACCAAGGGTTGCCATTCTTAAAACAGCAATAGATTTTTATTTGTAAGATGCATATCATCATAAATACCGGAAGCCTACTAGAGATTAAGAGTTTTCCTCCAGCTTTGATTACTTTGAGGTCATGTATGTTAATAATCTACTGTTAGCAATGGTTTAACCAGAGTCTGGAAGTAAAACAGTATAAATCTGTGGGGTCACTAATTAAGAGATGTCCTCAGAGTCTGATATTACTGCAATATTACCAAGTCAAGCTGTAAACACTGATGAGAAATCAAAGAGCTTCAGCAAGCTTTAACCTAAGGTTGTGCACACTGCAAACAGCTTATTGGAGATCATTACCTTTTTTTTCACTCTCCAATATAAGTTTCACTTACATAACACAGAATTGATGTCCCATTTATGTTTTGAAATGATTTGTCATCGTCTCATTATTTTTAGGTCAAAGAAACCTGCTGTTTTAACAAGGGTGTGTAAACACCTTATATCCACTGCAGCATCTATTCACAAAGTCAGGAGCACAGCCTCGCTAAGCCCCGTAAGCCTTGTAAACATTAAGTGACAAGTGTTGTGACAAGCAAGCGCCTTTAAAAAGAGTGTGACAAACTACAGGCAGACAGTGTTTGGATTCATTTCAGCCTGTGGCTCCTCCAAAGTCTTTAAAAGGTCTTCTCTAGAGAGAACAGCACAGTGTGATCCCTCGCCTCTGTGCTGAATATCATATTATTGCCCTTTTTTTTTTTTTTTTTGTCAGTGTTTGCTCTGATGGAGATGTGTCGCCATCTGTCCAGTGGGTCGCTAGAGAAGTGAAACACACTTTTATTCTTTTGCATTTTGCGCTGCAGCATGGTGATCAGCTTCCTGTGTTGGTGTGGACTGCGGCAGCACTTCCTGTTCACGAGGTATGGTAATCTCCCTGCTGAATGTCACGGACTTGTTTTTCTCTGTGGTCTGAAGAACTGTAGGCACTTAGTTTCAGCCAGCAGCTTTGCATATGATTATGAACTGCTGCTGGCTGCAGCGGGCCTCAACACTGGGGCGACCTGCCGCTGCTGACAGTGATGCAGCATCTTTACTTTGATAGCATGTGCGGCCCTAATGTGACTCAAAGCCATTTTTTCAGTGAGCAGAAGCCAAAGCTAGGCTCACCTCTGCGCTGCTTTCTTGTGGGAGATCCTCCACTGTAGCTGGACTCCCGCCACCTTCTTCGACCTCCATGTCTCTAACCGCATCCCCCTGCACCTTACTCTCCTCGTCGTCCTCCGTTTTCACCACTGCTGCCGCTCCCAGCTCCTCTCCTGCTCTTAATAGAGCCAAAGTGTCGGCAGCGCTGGCCTGAGCGTAGGCCCCCACGCTAGCATGGCTCAAACCGTGGACTTTTTTCAGATGTTTCTCCAGGGTGGCGTACACTGTAAAGGGCACGGCACACAGCTGGCACAGGAAGGAAGCCTTGGCCCCCTGGGCACCATGGGTCTTCATGTGACGTGTCAGCTTGGAGCTTTGAGCACAGGCGTAGTTGCAGAGGCCACAGCGGTATGGCCGCTCGCCCGTGTGGCTTCGGCGGTGTACGGTCAGGTTGCTACTGTTTCTGAATTGTTTACCACAGAACTCGCAGGCCTCGTCTTTCTTCTTCTTCCCAGTTGAACTGGGAGCAGAGTTGGTGTTTGCTCCGCTGATGGCCGTTCCTCCTGCGGTGCTCCTCCTGTCAAAGTCCCTCTGCCACTCCTGCACACCAGAGCCCCACTCCTTCTCCCTCTCCACAAGTTCTCGTTCGTTCTCCCACTCTCCCACTCCTCGTGCCCTCTCACCCATTTCTGGACGTTTTGGGGTGCAGTTGCCGCTTGCGATGCCGCTTTCTCCACTCCCTCCCGTCTCTCCGCTCTCCAGGGAGCCTTCAGAGGGGCTGGCACAGGGTGAGGCAGGCTGCGGCTCCCCCTGCCCCTCAGCTGCCTCCTCACCACCAGCTCTGTGGTGCTGGTAAAGCCTGAGTAACTCCTTGTCAGGTGGTCTAAGCTGCGAGTTTAACAGCATTAGGCCTGAGGCTACGGAGGGGTGTTTTGGATGAGTCAGATCTAGCTCTTTTCCCACCATCCCTGCCCCCTGAAGCCTTCCTCTAACCCCCTGCCTCCCAATATCCTCCTCCATCAGGACCGTCTCCACAGACTCGCATCCACTTCCTCCACCAGTAGCCTCCCTGTGGTGGCTTCTTATATGTCGAGCCAGCTGCCCACTTTGAGCAAAGGCCTGTCCGCACACACCACAGTGGTAGGGCCTCTCACAGGCATGAGTCCGGCGGTGGGCAGACAGAGCGCGCAACGAGTGGAAGTTCTGGTCGCACAGCTCACAGTGGAAATCAGCCTGGAGTGTGCTGGTCTGAGGAAACGTTGAAGCTGCTGGGGGAGATGAAGATGGAGACAACACGGGGCCCATGGGGTAGGTACCATTGGTGTTGTTCCCCTCAGCAAGCTTCTTGAGCTGCACCGAGAAGTTCATAGCCTGGAGGCTCGCTGAGGTGGCCTGGCTCTGACGGGAGCGTCGCAGAGTCGAGGGCTGAAAGGCCGAGGCCAGAGCCTGGTTCAGGTGACGTGGATCAAGAACAGAAGCCGCAGGTTTGTTTTCATTTAGACCATCTCTTAAACCAACGTATGCATCGTCCTCCTCATCCTCTTGGTAGATGTTGAAGGAGTGCATGTGCTGAGCGTGTTGCAGGAGCGCCCATGCTGAACAAAACACACCATCACACTGAAGGCAAGTGAAAAAGGAAGGCTCTTGAGATCCTGCCAAAATAAAAAGAAAAGTCTGAGTTAACAAGCAAATTAGACGCAGGGTCTCAGGAGGTTAAAAAACAACTGGAATCGGGTTCTTTAGCTATAAAGTCATTATGTTAACAAGTTTGGTTTACTAATCTATTGATCACCATTTGTGTAATGAGAAATTCACATTCTTACAGATTTCATAACCAGGCATAAAGAAAAATCTATGAAGACAAAAGTATTATCCAAATCAAGGTGACCCTTTGTAAAAGAGCCACTTCCCTCTAAAGCTAATGTCATCTTTGGCGGCTAAAACCATCTAGATTATGAGTCATTATGAGTCATTGAAAAATTACTGGAAAGGGATTTTAGATTGTTTTCCTTTAGAGAATGGGCTATATAAGACTGATTAATTCAGGTGGGCGGGACTTCAGGAACCATGACGACAATCGCAATAAACACCTGGATTAATCAGCATGTCCAGTAATGAAGGACAGGAAATAAAAGTTCAGGAGGTGAGAGTTGGGGATATAGCCCATTGCTTGAATTCAGCAACATCTGAGGTTTTTTTTTGGGCCATCAAAATATTTCAACTGAACTTAAAAATGTACTTTAACTAGGCCCTTAAAAACTGTATTTTTGTATAATGCTTGTTTTCTTAGTCAATTGGAAACAAACTTGCTAGTTTGCTTCGGCCTATTGTCCCGAGTAACAGAACTACAGGAGTGTTTTCAGTATATTTTTTAGAAGCTTTCATCATTAAAATCTGCAGGTCCTGAAGAGCAGCAGCTGCAGAATATCACACAAAAACAGGGCACATCTGAATGCGTTTTCACTTGTCACTCCACAAATTAAATCCTTTTAATTCTAAACACTGGTCCTCGTGTCGCACTACACCTGATTCAAATGATTGTATGACTCCCTCAGCAGTCATCAAGTAATCAATCAATCAATCAATCAATCATGAGCATCTAAAACATGCAGGTCAGCGGTCCCTGAGGACCAGCATCAAGGACTACCAATCTAGGGGAAGATTTATGCAATCTTTCTCTCTTTTCTGGGGTCCCCCTTCAATCAGCAGCTGTTTTAACCTTGAAACTTTAACATGATGCAAGTTTTTACAGAAAAATATCTTTACAATAGCCTTTTTATTTGACCCTTTACAACTAAAACACTGTTTGATAAGCAGACTGACAGCTCAGTAGTTCACCTCCGATGCCTCTATAAGCCTGTAGCCTATTTTTCCCTCAATCTACTTCGGGTCTTAAATTCTCATGCTGTTCTGTGGATGTGACATCAAGCACGTCTGTGTTAAATGGGTCTGACCTAGCTGACCTAGCAAACAATTAAACCGTTATATTCAAGATGGATTTTGTGGATACTCAGAAGAATATTCAGCTCATCTCAGACACAAATGACTCCAGGTAAGGTGAAACAACAACAAAAAAAAAACCTTGTCAAGTGTGACTGCGAGGTACAGCAACGGGCAGAAGATTACTACAATTCTGTCTTTTGGCTACAGGTGGCAGTATTAGAAAACTCAATACTCAAAGTAAATTATACATTTGCCCAATATTTATTATAAACTGACCTTTACAAAGACAGGTGAGCCCTGTGGTGCAGTGGATGCTGCTTTCAATCAAGAAAACATCTAATTTTTTCGTTATATACCCTTTACTGTTTTATATTGGTGCATAATGTGTAGCTTTTCAAGGATCTAAGGGTCAATATTGTCATTATGTGAGCATAATAAAATTTGGGTGAGATCTTAAAGGAGAAGTTCGGTTTTTTACACTTTAAGCCCATTTTCTGTAGTGTCCAGGATGAAATCGAATGATCGACACCAAAAGTTTGACAATTGCTCCTGTCTCTGCTTTTTGGCTCATTTAGAATCCCCCCTGGCTGCTTTAGAATGGCTTGCATAGAGCATGTCCGATAATGTCCTTAAAACAACCTTAAACGTTCTTTTTTAAAAATATGCTACTCACCGGGTCGTCAGCGCTGTTCAATGACGTTCCAAAAAAAGTTTCGTAAAGAAAAAACGTTCCTGTAGTGTTTTATTTAGCATTTTGTAAATCCCATTGAGTTCTTTTGGAATAGTCAATATTCCGCTGCCACTGGAAACGGAAATGGGGCCTGTTTACACAGTTGTAGTCTTTTCGCTTCACTCTGTGTACTCTGACGTCGAGGTGCTAACGTCTCTGTTAAACACTTTAAAAAACTCTGAAAATGGAATACGAAAGGTGGATTCTTGATTCTCGACGTCGGAGTACACAGAGTGAAGCGAAAAGACTACAACTGTGTAAACAGGCCCCATTTCCGTTTCCGGTGGCAGGGGAATATTGACTATTCCAACAGAACTCAATGGGATTTACAAAATGCTAAATAAAACAAGACAGGAACGGTTTTTCTTCACGAAACTTTTTTTGGAACGTCATTGAACAGCGCTGACGACACGGTGAGTAGCATATTTAAAAAAAGAACGTTTAAGGTTGTTTTAAGGACATTATCGGACATGCTCTATGGAAGCCATTCTAAAGCAGCCAGGGGGGGATTCTAAATGAGCCAAAAAGCAGAGACAGGAGCAATTGTCAAACTTTTGGTGTCGATCATTCGATTTCATCCTGGACACTACAGAAAATGGGCTTAAAGTGTAAAAAACCGAACTTCTCCTTTAAATATATTTGACCTACTTCATGTTGTCAGACAGGTGCTAGTTAGTAGACTGTAGCACGCCTCTGAACTCAACCAACCAATTTCAGCTTCATGTCTTTAATGCCATCAAACATGATATATCAAACATATTTTTTTCTTTATTTTAGAAAACAGGATGAAATTGCCACGTCTGGCCATGAGGAACCCAAGTACTGGAGGCAATGCATCAAACTGATGCTACAGAGGGTGATTCTCATAACAGATACCAACACTACAGAGACTGCTTCCTGATGCTTTAACACTAAGCTAAAGTGAATTTATTCCAGGCCAGAGGAGGGTAGTGAGAGCTAATCTAGGAAAGAGGCAAAGCAAGCAAGGTGGAGATTATAGCAATTAAGAACTTCCCCTAAATAAGAGAAGGAACAAGATGAAGGTGCAAAGAAATCTGAAATGGGGCAGAGAAGTGAGGATCCAGAGGGCCAGCAGCCAAATATATCTGCAGATGTTTTTATATATATTTTGAAAGCCTTTTCTCCTAACAGAGATCTACTCGCCAATTAAGCTGCAAATTGCTAATTAGCAGAACGTAGAAAATGAACGCTTTATGCAAACCAGGTTCTGACTCAGCCTGCTTGACAAATGAGGCCTTTCTGCATAAATCAGAACTGGCGAGAAGATCCCGAAATTGAGGGGAAAACGTTTTTTTTTTTAACACTTTTTTTTTCAGAGGGGTTCAAAGCAGACTCTGGTATAAGCCTCTTTCATGTTTCCTCAAGTCAAATCCTTCTGTATTTTATTGGAGGATTCGGGGGGGGGAGGAGATTGAAGATGAAAAAGAGAGCAACTGTTTCGTTCTCTTTTTCCCCTCGTCGCCCTCCCTCTGTCTGGAGATGAGAGCTGCAGTGTTTGTGTCCTTTAACCTAGCCTGAGGAGAAACCTAGGAGAAGTTGAGATACTACTTAAAGAGTAAAAAAAAAAATGGGGTGAAGAGCAAGAGAAGAAAAACAGAGAAAGGTAGGTCAGGGCTCGGGAGATAAAGACAGAATGAGATAAAAAAGATTGTAATGTAGGGTGTGTGGGTGGGTTGAAGCGGGGCGCGAGACACCAGGAAAATGTGTCACCCCTTTAAATTGTACTCGGGACCCATCCTCCAACCTCGACTCCCCCTAAAAACCCACCAAATCTTCCCCTAAGGGTGAGAAAAAGGAGGTGGTGCGGATTGGCTTTTGTCTTGAGGTCCTGGAGAGAAACACAATACCCGTCCGGTTTCTCTTTCCTCTGCGCTTTTTTTTTGTAAGGATTCCCATTTGGCCCAGGGTAGCACTTGAATATTAAGCAGAAGCAATAACTACTAATTAAAAATGCAGATTGGCTGGGAGCGCTAACGAGCAGCAGGCAGAATCTCTGCTCCCTCGGGAGGCAGAGGGAGGAGAAAAGAAGAGGAAGATGAAGGAGGGGGGGCTGAAAGAGGGCAAAGCGAAAGTGTGCTGAAGATGCGGGGGAAGAAGTGGGAAGGCGCAAAAAGAAAAAAAAAGAAAACAAACAAGGCGAATAAATAAAAAGGAATGAGACAGATGCGTGCGGCTCTTCAGTAATCCCCCCCCTCCTCCTCCTGCATCTTCACTGCTCTGAATAAACAGAGAGCTGTCGTTTTCTGCTCTTTCACTTACAGTCATTTCAGGAGTCAAACCCCTCCAAAAAGGTCAGAAAACTCCCTTTAAACTCTATACACCCAACATTTCATCTAAGGGATAGAAATTAAGTGTCAAACACTTCACCGACGACGTACAGGAATAAGCATGTTATTCAAACTTCTTTCCTACGTTATGCACAACCTGTCATGCTCCCTTCCAATCCCCTCGTGGTTGTCCTGTCGGGTTTGTGAGGAAGCAAATAACAGAAAAACCCTTCGCTGCGAGGCAAACTTGTGGACAAACGGAAATGCTGCATGCATGCGTCCTCTCGAGCGTTGACACAAAGGAAGGAACTGCCAGCACATGTGTGAGCGTAAAAAAAAAAAAAAAATGTGCAAAGGGGCACTCATACCTGCCCTAAAACACAATCATTCATTTCACAACCTGATGCCTGTGACCTTTGCAGGAGAACCCATCTTTTTTTTTTTTAATCCTGCTACATAAAATTCTTCAAAGGGATTTTAATGAGAATTGTGGGATTTTTGATCTACCCCACCGTGACATATTTGGCATCACAGCAGCCACAGTGACATGTTTCCTTCATCTTCACTGAAGAAGCGTGAAGAAAAAGAGCCATTCGGGAGGAGGGAGGGGGGGTGCTGACATATTATTCAGTTTAAGGAAGAATAAGGAGAGAGAAGAGACCTGGGATTGTTTTTTTTTTTTTGAAAACAAGCAGAAGATGGAGGAGGAGGAGATTCCCAGGAGCTCAGGTGGCTCTGCCCGGAGGCTGAGCAGTGGCTGAGGAGCTGACGCAATGTCCTTCATTAGGGTGTCATGGCGGCAAGGAGGGCTGCTGGATCGGCTCCTCTGGCCCCTTTCACTCTGCAGAGCATGGACTCAAAACAAGAACCATGCAAGTTGAGAGGAGGAGCGTTGTGGATGACAGGCAGGAAGAGACATGTTTACCTGGCCACTCCACCTCAGAGACTGACAGCCAGGGAGATGGGAAGGAGCTCAGGTGCTCGGCTTGGGGCCCTCAGGGACCCTCGGTGCCCTCTGAATGTTCCTGACGCCTATCCTTTCCACACAATTAGCCCGAGCGTCACTAACTCACGCGGGTGTGCTAATGGCAACGGCTAGTTAATGAGCTGGACTCGAGAGGGAGGAGGGGTGGCTGTTAAATGAATAAAAGGATCGCTGGAAAAAGGAAAAAAAGAGTCACTCATTAGCAACCTGCCACCTTGAGCCTCACCTGGTTTGCTTAGGTCTGGTCTCACACTAAGACCGGGTTCCTCCCCACCGGACCGCTCCCTGGAAGCCCCTCTCCGGAGCTCGATGAAGCCGGGTCGTGGCTCCGAACCGGCGACCCGCTGGCGTCCTGCTCTACTGGCAGGCGAAGGAGGAGTGGCGAATGTGGCTTGGTTCTGTGAGACACAGCCGCCCTGTTTGTGCTGAATGAACGCCAGGATGTGGGCGAGGGGGAAGGCCTGGCTGCACTGCCCGCAGGTTAGCAGGTCACGGCCATCTTCAGGGGTCCCAACCTGAAGAGCAGGAGGAGGAAGATGGTGGTCTTCTGATGAGTCTGAAGGTTCCTCCATATCACAGACATCTGGGGCTGAAGGAAGGAGGAAGAAAGTTTAATTTTAACAGAAGCAACAGAACTTTAGTCAGAAGCAGGGTTAGAAAGGCAACAAAAGTCTTTATACTACCAAATCCATTTCATACATATTTGCTTTAGCTCAGCCACACTGGATGAGAGCTTCCATGAACCTCACTTTAAGCCTTATGCATCCTCTCTATCCAAATTCCCATCAGCAACTCTCCTGTTCCTTCCTGAAAACAAGCGTTTCCACATCATGATGCTGCCAAAAACTATCCTTCACACTAAATATGGCACCTTCAAGGTCCAAACGTTACATTTTCCTAACCATCTTTTCGATTTTCCTCAGATGGCTCGTTGTACTTTGCTTTTCTTTCCCTTTCTCTCAACAAAGCCCCTCTTCCTGGATATGTAGAGAAAATAATTCCTCTACTAGAGGTCCAGATATTAGCAGCTCCTCTCGAGTCACCATGAGCCTCCTAGCCTCCTTTCTAATGTATGGTTCCAGCCAGTTTAGGCTGAGAGAGAAACCGTTTCTGTTTTCAGATTCTAAACAAAACAGGTTTAAACTTGAGATAAATTGCATACAGGTGGATTCTTTAAACAGACTACATAGGGAATAAGGTGAACTCAGATTGATTTAGGGGTATGAAAATACAAGGGACAAAATGATATTTCTGAAAGACAAAACAAAAAACCTGCATCATCTTCCCTCTACAACTAGGAACCACTTTGTGTTGGACCGTCTGCTGCGATAACTTACACATTTCAGCAGCTGTGAATACATCTGACATTGTTAATATATAAAATTACTTTATAATAATAAAAGTGTTAAATACATTTTTTTAAAACATGCAGTTTTATGTGCGACTCTGGGGGATCTGCTAATTTTTCTAATGTGTGAGACCAAACCTGACCTGTAAAAACTTTATCCTTCTACTCGATACCAATAACTATACAATAATCAATTTTTTTAAATTTCAATGTTTTATAATTCTCCTTAGAAATGAATCGATCATGCAGCGGTGGGGAACTCAGTAGGTCATATTGTAAAGTCTATGTAAGTTCATTAGATGTCCCAAAATTACAACCCCCCCCCCACCCCCCCCCCCACCCACCCACCCAACATGTATCATGTTTCACTTTCTAATTCCCCTTTATATGCAAAACTACTCCATCTATCAACAAACTGGCAGATCCCCCCCTTCTGTCCAATTTGTCTTTGGGGGAGGTAACTGGAGTCAACATGGACCAGGAAGGGACAGATCAGTGCATCTCTATGGCTGCAGACTGTAAATCTTTGCCATCAAAATCAGACAGATCATATGTAAACAGGAAATACTGATTTTTTCCCCCTCTGAGGGTGTAGCTTTATCATCTTTAGACTGATCGATAACAAATCTCCAAGTCTGAAATGTTCTTAATTTTAGTTTTGAATTAGTTTTTGAATTAAGTTAAATCTAAAATCCCGCATACAGCCTGTTTTTTTTTTTTGGTACGATTTTTTTTATTACATACAGAGCAGAGGTGACCTCAATGGAACAAAACAAACAAGCCTGGTGATTGGAAGTGCTAGTTTCACTTATGGTAGCTCAACGAGGCCAATCTGCTCAGCCAACACTGACCACTTCCTTTAACAGATCTTTGCTCGCTCTGGTAGGGTGCAACATGAAGAGGCCAACGGTCCATCCGAGTGCAAACCCTTGTTGTAAAATGACTTGCACTCTGGTAGAGAAATGACTGAATTAAAATAAAACGACTGAGGCGTTCACCTTTCACTCAACAGAAAATGTTGCCTTACCAGGCACATGCAGCGGGAGTTTCTCAACAGGATGTAGATTGCAATAAAAGGGGGAGAAAAAAGTGACTGAAGGTGTCTGAGATAAGAGCGGGCATGTCTTTTTTTTCTGTGCAACAATGATGTGCAGGGGGGAGTTAAGCTGACAAATCTAACGTCGTTTTCAGCTTTAAATACAACCACAGTGCCTTTGTGGACACAGCTTAAAACAAACCCTTGAAGGACTTGAGTAAACTTAGAGCAGCTAGAGTAAAGAGGAGGAGGAGGAAGAGGGGGGGTGGTCAGCGGTTTATTGCTCAACATGGGCACACCTGAATCCACCTGCCCAGGCTGGGCACACTCTCCGTACAGGACAGGTACAGACAGTACAGTCTGAAGTCGGATCTCAGCAGTTGTTACTCAAAAATGTCACCTTTCCTGTTTCAGGCCTGTGCTGTTTGTGCAGGCTTGCAAGGCGCGGTTACACGCGCATGCCCGCACGCGTGCCCGCGCATACACACAACACACAGGGTTGAGTCAGGGCCTGTGGTCACAGCAGACACGCACCACTGGTCTCCAGTAGAGAACTGTAAAAAAAAAACTAATTATTCTCTATCCTCATTTCCTCCTTGAGTTGATCAAAGTATTAATTATTTGAAATTTCTCAAACTTGTTGTTTAATTGAGTTTTTAATTAAGAGGTCAACGAGAATTGAGAAATCTTGTCCTATTTTTTATTTTATTTTTTTAAAGGCAGATGAACCAACCTTCTCTGGAAACCGTATACCTTCCTAATCTTGTTCGGACCTGTAGCCTGTGAGCAGAAGGAGCCAATAAACCGGTCCTTCCTCTATGAACTGCTGCAGCGCTCATCAGGACAAACAACGCGGACATTGAATATGAGCGCTTCTTCAAACGTTAAAGTCCACCATAAACTCCCATAAACTACTTCACAGGTGGTAAAAGAAACAGTAAGATACTTTTAGGAAGTCCCCCTCGTGTTTGTGAAAAAAAAAAAAAAAGCTTTTTAAGTTTAAAATGTATTTCATTATAATAGATAGAAATAAATGTGTAAAATCAAAACGCCATAAAACACAAGCAGGAATTTGGTTAGTTTTTTAAAATAAATAATTACAGAATAAAAACATCCCTCTGCAACGTGTTCCCCCTGTGGTTTACCTTGAATTGCGCTCAGGTGCTGCGGTCGGCTCCCAAGTTTGCGCCTGGACATCGCGTCGCGCTGTTTGGCACCTTTCCTCGGTCCCTTAAAACAACACCCTCCTCCCCCCCTCTTCCAGCTGCTCCGACTCCGATAAGCTGACCGCCGGGGACGGACAGATAACAGACTGGCTGGCTGGCTGGCCTCCGCCTGGACTGGAGCTGGTGTGAAGGAGGCAGCAGCGTTCAAGTTCACGCTTCTTTTTCCCCCCGCGGAGAGGGCAGAAAGGGGGCATGGGCGACAGAAAGTACCGCCCGCCCCGACCGAGCCTGACCCCGCCCTCATCTTCTAAAACTCTCACCCTTTACACCTTTGACTAGCAGATTATATCTTCTTTTTCTAACGTTCAGGGTAATCTTTGTGGTGTTTTCTGAGATTTGGCTGATTTTTTTAAGCTGATTGTGAGAATGATGATGGTCATCATCTGGTTCCTCCTCAACAGCTCAGAGGAACTAACTTTCTACAGGTGTCTCCAACAACCAAACCGGAACCAGCTTAAAATTCACTTCTGCTTTTCTTCTTGACCAGATGTAGCAAATATTCACCCATTAAAATGCAGAAATACGTGGCCTAGTTTTTTGTTGTTGTTTTCTTCTTACGGAGCGGTCAAAGGAAAAACAGCAGAGGTGCAATTAGTTTTTGTCGCCACCTACCGGTGAATGTAAATAACGCTACTAAAAACTTCTGCATCTAAAAGCTTTTTTTTAAAGTATATTTTCTTCATACAGAGGGATATAATAAAAAAAATGTAATTTTGGCAATTTTTTATGATTATGGCTTAAAGTTATTCAAAACCCAGAATAAATTTTCTTAGGAAATTATGATGCATAAAACCAAAATAGAATAGAATGGAATAGAAAATCCCTTCATTGTTCAACATTGGGGAAGTTCTGGTGATTACAGCAGCAAAGAGATTATAGAAAAAATTTTCACACAAATATGGACCTTAGAAAAATGTATAAGAATAACATAATATATGCACTGCCGACTGTTGATTCACAGTACCAATTGTTTACATATACATTTGCAATAACATGCAATTACCTTCCACTGCACTTTAATTTAGATAGCTTCTGTCCAAACTTTATTCATTTTATAGTAAAACCTATCTGTATATATGCTATTGTACATAACTGTAAAAACCCTTTTTATAGTAATTTCCACCTGTATATTATAGTCGGTACATATCCAGCTATAAATTTAGTTCATAACACTAGTGATCTATATATTATATTCAATATCTATAATGGTATTCATCTCTATACTCATTCAGTAGAAACCCATGTCCTGTATTTATGGAACCATTATTTATCCTGCACTTGCTGCTATTGCACTTCTGGTTAGACCTAGACTGCATTTTGTTGCCTTATACAAGTACATGTGTAATGACAATTAAGTTGAATCTAATCTAATAATAGTCAAGATTTAAAAGATAAATACTTGATGCTCTCTCTGCATATATAACAGTATCAGTGCAGCAGGGAATGCAGTTGATCAGCTGTAGTTTTGCTGATGGACTCATGTAGGTTGCTTTAATACAAATCTAATCTTGTGTAGTTGGTTCTGCTTTGTGTCATGCTTCGTTGGCACTTGTTAAGGTTAGGCCAGTTTGCTGGTCAACCAAGTACAGTGACAGCAAGTCATTAAAACAGGTAGGTGGTTGATCTGACTTTGGACTTGAAGAACAATGTACCAATACCAGCAGATGACATACTCTGCAGATCACCGACACTGGACCCCAAGAAATTTTAGTGTACCTCTCCACTCTCCTTTCAAACCTTAATTTTAAAAATGAAATAAGTTTATTCTGGAATTTGGACTTTGAACCATCAGACAATCCTGGTGTCTCATCTGGAACTCAGCCTGGATAAGAATACTGACGTCTGAAGTTTAGGAGTGACTAAGCATGCGGAATGTGACAGTTTTGGCCCATGTCTTGAATGCATCTGTGGGTTGTTGCTGTAGAGCACAGGTGCTAAGGCTACAGCCCTCGAGGGCGGCTGTCTTTTGATGTGTCAGTCTGTCAACACGCCCGAATCAAATAATTAGCAGGATCTGGTAGAGCTTGAGTGAACGAGGTGGTAACTCAGTTGGGTTGGACCTTGAACACATTAAAGAGGTTCCAGGACACTGGCCCTCTAGGAATGGAGTTTAAGAACCCCCGACTGCAGACAGTTTGCACCTTGTAAATCTCCAAGCTGTCAAATGGGCTTTGCTTCACAATCCTCTCAAGGCTGCTAACCTTTACATTTATTCTTCCACTAAACTTTCCTTTGAAATACAGAACTTGAGTACATATTTTTTTTTTAAATGTAGTTTTCATTACCTCGTTATCAAAATCAAAAGGTGGTAAAACTACGCCAATTTTTTTGTTCACATGTACCTTTAAATAAGATTTATTCATAGCAGCTATTTTTAGTGATGTGGTTTCTGAAGAAAACTGATCAGGAATGAGGGAAGGTGGAATCCCTGGAGTTGATAAATACAACTCTGACATGACGAAACCAAATCTGAAAAATATAAATATTTCATTGGTTTGACAATTCAGACTTGGGAAATACAAGTAAGTATAAAGAAACCCCTTCTGTCAACTCTAGCTCAGTATTTAGTGGATTATTTTTATAACTTATAGTAGATAAACTGAAGATGTCGTGTTCAGTTTTATTTTTATTTCATCTGCCCACTTCTGTCAACCCCTTTTGGTTCTGTACTCGATCATTTCCCTTAGTTTCAAATATGCTAAAAGGGCAAAAAAAGAGAAGCACAAGCCCACATAAAACAATGATAGACCTTTACAATGCCTGATAAAATATAAATATGGATGATCTAAAGAAATAAAGGCAAAAATATACTTACTTTACCTGCAAATATAATAAAACAAATGAGATCTAAATAATTTCAAAGTGAGTTTTATTTGTTCTATTTAACATTCAAATAGTACAGAGAAAAAAAAAGTTGTTTGGTGTTATTAGCCAGCTGAAGACAGAGTACAAAAAGAGTAATTCAATGCAAAAACCTGGTCTGCTTTTGTGAAATGGTTTTAATTTGATATTTCTGGAAATGACACGTTAAAGCCCATTTAAACTTAATCTTTAGTTTCCACTTTTACTCTGACAGAAACAGATATGGGGGGAGAAGATTCCAACATTAAGTGGATACCTTTTAAAACCTCTAGTATTGCTTTGTGTCTCAAACTTTGGATAATGTTTCTCCCAAAGAAAGGACCAGGAAGATAAGAGGACAAAGAGGTAACATGCAGATGTGAAGAACCCAAAAATGTTCTCCAGTCGTTCCAAACCGAAGCAGAAACTAAAGAGCAGATTAAATCATTTTGGCTAAAGTCATCTCATGTGAGCAGTGCATGATGATACAATTCTGGTTGAGTCGCTTGTGTTGACAGAAAGTTCTTGTTCTGTAAGAGGCTCCTCATCCTCCATCTGTCCAGTTCAATATCTGTAAGGTGGACTCCGAGAGCGTGAGCGCGAGTCAGACCGCGACCTTCTGAGAGAAAACCAAATTAGTGAAAGGCCAGCAACATAAGATAAACACTTTAAATATGTTCAAAACCCATATAGCTCTTCAATTGCAGGTTTATTAGGCACTAAGAAGCTTAATACACCTTAAAATCATAAAGTATATAACCACTGAGTTTGATTATAGATCAGAATATTTAATACTAAGCATTTTACAGTTATGACAAACTAATTTTCCCACAGTCCTTCATAATAATGAAACTAATTATCTTAGAAACATATTGTTATAAACAACTGACTTGTCAATTCAAAGAACTTTAGAGTAACTCAAAAACGTGCCAAATGTTTCAGACGATGGAAAATAAAATGTTAAATCTGGTGAAGCTGCAGATATAGATTTGTTTTTTTTCCCTCTTTAAATGTATTCAAGTCATTGGATATTTAGCATTTAGTTGTTCAATGGTTACAACTTTGAAAAGTTTTCATTTTTGACATCTAAACCTTTTTCAGTATATTCTAAAATTGCATGCAAAGAATTGTTATATTGATGGATTTAATGTTCCATAAACATACAAATCAATTATGTATCCACTTGGTGTGATGGACTGCCGTGTGCATGCTGATTGATTATAACGGCTGCTTATTGGTTACAGAGTTTGCAGCTCTGTGCAGTGGAGCTGCATGCAATGTAAATTTGCTGTAAATCTAATTTTACTTGGAACAAATTTTACTTTCATCTGTGTAAACACTGAACATCTACACAAAATTAAAACATTAATGAAACACCTACTTTGTTTTAACTATTCATAAACTGTGGATAAAGAACATTAAGGATTGAGTATTTCTCTCCTCAAATGCAAAGATTTATTGTAGAAACTGAAGGTTAGGTTTAGTTTTCCTGTGATTAATGGAGCTAATATTAATTTGTATAACAACTATTTCTAGGCTTCACATCTGTGCTGCATAGAGTGGGCAGATTACCGGTAACCCAGTCCAGGCTGACTGGACCCCAGTTCCTCTGCATTTCTTCAGTTTGTTTTAGAAGCAGAATGCTTACTGTTGGAGGCTGTTTGCTGTCTGTATTGTTTCAAGGAAACTGCTTCATTTTCAAAAGGCACAAGTGTTCTTTTAGTGTTTTGAAGACTTGGGTAAAAGAGAACAATTGACACCAAAGTACCAGAAACATCCCCGCCTGTCTTGTGGCTTTAACTTTAAGTGTTTGCAGGAGGTCTGACAAACTTTCTGTGGCTCTTGGAGCCAACAGGATAAATCGGCTCTCATCAGTCTATATAATGTTATGTTTTCTACATCAGAGAAAAGCTGACCTCCACTGATCCTTTGGAAGCTGATCATTAGCTCAATCTTTGCTCCTTTAGAAAACATATTTTTTATTGCAGTATTAATGCTAAGAAAGGAACGGTATCAACTGACCCACATTTTTCTGACCTTTCTTCCTGTATCCTTGCAGAACAGATGCTCCACTAATTATACATCATATCAGGTTTTAAAAGTGGTTTCCAACTCAAACATGTTACAACTATGGAAGGTAAGAATGCATCACACTAAACTACCAAATATTACACCCAAACAGCTGTTCGTGAATCTTTAACTTTTCCGTATTTGATTCCTATTTCTGAGCATCAGAATCATTTTAGCAGAAAAAATAAAATAAAATCAAAGAGCGCCTAACAATTGGAACGATTTATTACAGCTTTCGGTGCTTTCTGCCCATGACCTC